AAAAACGGAACTTCCAGCTTCAAAGTTCCTGAGAGGTATTTTTTTTCCTTCTATGCTGTTTGTTGTCTCTGATGAAAGCATATTTATTTTCAACCTTTATCATTTACTGATCTTAATTCTAAGTTACTGAGATCCTTCTGCACTTCATTCTTCAAAAATGAGATTCCATCACGAGAGAAATTCTTTTTAGAATTAAATAATTTTGTTAGTTAAATAAATTATTTAATCCATTAGTACCCCATAAGTTAATTCCTTTTGAATTATTAACATTGATACCAATTTTATTAAGCTGCTGCATCAAAAGTTACTAAGGATGCCATCTTTACTTTCTGTTTTTTGACGACTTTTTTTATATCGCCCAAAAAAGGGAATATTACATACACACGCATCTAAATTTCTTTAACTCTCCCAGTACATTAAAAAACTACTTCTGTACTACATTAATTAAGCCGGCTAGGTGGCGGAGTTGGTAAGGCGCTGGTCTTGTACGCTCAAGTTTGTGGATTCGACCCCGGGCCAAGTCTATGGATTTTTATAACGCAAAAAATCAACAGCGTCCACGTCGTATGGTTATGCAGCATGTAAAAAATCCCTTGAGTGTCCGTTTGGCTTGGATGCTCTCGGCAAAATTAAATTCCTATTACAAATCCACATCAGCTCACAAGCTTAGGAACCTCTCTCTGGGGAGAAAACTGGAAGTCAAAATTACATTGTAACAATTGGTATCTACCTATATGGTGCCATATTAAAAAGCAATACCATTTCGAGGAATGTATTAGGTCTGCAATGGTAATTACCGATTTGCATCCTCATTTAAAAAAACTATATAAATTAAACTTGCCTATATTTTAACCTATATATTTCATAAACTTCGACTTATTGGCGTTCGTAATTTTCTTTTCAGCTAAAACTACCTTTAATTTAACTGATTGCTGTTATTAATATTTTAAAATCGATGGGCGCAGAGAGAGTGAAAAATGTTTCACTTAATTAAATATTTTGCTCAATAATGAAATCTTGATACAGCATGTGTTTGTCAGTATATTTGTTTATGGTGTATAAGGCATCCGGTTATGTTCGGAGACCAGATTCTCGAAAAACGATTTTCAGAAGAATTTTATTGTTTTAAAAAACACAGCTAGATGTTTGAAGAGTTTTAAGGTATCCGACTACTTGCGACAAATTTTTTTAACTAATGGAGGTATGGGGATTTTTTTCTGTGGTTTTTAGATTTATTTAGTACATTTTAAGAAAAATATGCTAAAACTAAGAAGAGAAAAAGAAATTATTATTACTAAAATGGTAAAAATTTACAAAAGATTACATAAACCGGGCCCATTCTGAGCAAAAAGTTTATGAACAAATTTTGAATTTTTCAACTTTAAAATGTTGTTTTGCTATTCATTTTTGAAATGATCTTCAGGATAAGAGAAAACTAGAGCACTTTATCTTACTTATTATAAGAAATTGCTTTAAAAAATAGTGATTATATTCACATAATAGACTGTAAATTTTGTAATAAAACAGTGAATGATAAATCTGAAGGTTAAAAGACTTGTATTATTAAACAAAGCATACACAAAAAATTCATCTAATTATTTTCAAAACTTTTTGAGCAATCGCTGTCCTTGTTTGAGCATTTTCAAAAAACACATTTTGAGTAAAACGCATTTTAAAGTATGACACCTTGTTTAAAGAAATGGCATCTGCTTTTACTAAAACACTTGTCGTTTTTGTTCTAATGAATGGGAAATAATAAACTTGGTATTTTTATAAAGCTAATAAGATGGCCCATAAAATAAAATTATAAATAAATTATCAATTTGTGGCAAAGTTCATAATTTTGGGGTAGTCGGATACTTAAATTATTAATGCATCATGCATCTTAAAACACGCTGTTTGTTACACTCTAAAGGGTTGGTTGTATAAGTATTACAAATTTTATTGATTTTTATTGGATTGTTTTGGAGATATCCCATTTTTCGTGCACAAATTATCGTGACTATTTCCTTTTTTTAAAAAAACACACATTTAAAGATATTTTTAAGATGGATACAGTAAATATTAGAAAACAACATAAGATTCTCCAGTTTTATATATTATTCCCTTCTCTTCTTCAATATATATATATTTCTCTTTTTTTCCCAAATGATCCTAACACCTAACAAATAAAACCACCCTTTTTTAACCTAGTTGGAAATTATCACTAATGCTTGTCAAGAGGAAAACACAGATAAGTATCTTCGTTTAAAGTCCTGTTTCAGCAATGCAATCTCTTTTTTGAAAATACCTCAACTTCTGAGGTTGCAGATCATGATTTTTGAGTGCTTTGACATGCAGCAGCCTATACTGTATGTTCCAGAGTGTTTTCTGTAGAAGTTAGCTAATTTTTTTGAATTACAGTTCTATTTCCTAATCAAGAATGCCACTGTTGCTTGATTTGAACTCAGTTTGTCCTTATTGGTTATTTAATTTCATGCGGTTTCTCCTGCCACATAAAATATTCCTTCTGTGTTCGAGTCAATGTGTTAAATATTAATGATGCTGTTAATGAAAATGGTCAATTTAAATTAGAGTGACTACATTTGTCTATCCATGTAAATTAAATTTCTGGTGAATTTGCTTTCAGATTGAACATTGAGTGAGTTGTAATAGCTTAGACACATTGCGTTTGTAAGGTAATCAGAAAATTGAACAATGTTATTTAATATATTCGATAAAATAAACTGTTCTAGAAAAATATTCGAGAAAAGAGGCTTTGTTTTATTTCGATAAAGCAATCCAGTTAATTGAAAACAAATCACCGAATACTTTCATAGCCAATCAGAAATGAACAAAAATATACAGAAAATTTGATGTATCAGTTAAAAGTATTAATTTAGACGATATAACATAATGTTTTAATATTATTTAATGCTATATTTTTTAAAAAAACATATCTGCCAGGTACACAATACTGTGATAAAAACAAGTAAAAAATTTTTTTATAAGTAAATTCCTACTTAGGTCAACTTTAGTTTCTTTTTATCAAATAATTACAATTAATATAAATACACTCCTGGACAAAAAATTAGTGCACCAAGAAGGAGTCGTCAAAATGAAACGAAATTATACATACGTAATGACTACTTTGATATAAGAAAATGATAAAAAAATAAAAGAAAACCGATAATTTATTTCAAAGAAAAAGGCAAAAGAACGGAGGATTTAATACACCGTTGAACCCCCTCTAGTGCGAATGCACAATGCGATACGATTGGGCATTGAGGTATAAAAATTTTGTACGATGTCTTGAGACATTTCGTTCCATATTTGCCGTAACCTTACTTCTAGTTCGTTCAAACTCATAGGATGCCCAACCAGCCGTCCCAAATGATCACAGATATGATGGATTGGAGACAAATCTGGGGATTGGATAGGCCAAGGAAGGGTAGTAACAGTGCGGAGACAGTCTTGTGAGACCCTTGCCGTCTGAGGCAGAGCATTGTCTTGTTGAAAAATGGCTCCTGGGAGCCGTTGCACGAGTGACAACACATGTGGTTGCAGGACCGCTGGGCTGTCATGGTGCTATGGATCATTACTAGGGGTGACCGTGTATTGTAGGCAATAGCACCCCATACCATCCCACCAGCTGCGGGAGCGACGCGTCGCTGTAAAGCAAAAGAAGGATTGAGGCGTTCACCACGGGGTCTCCCCACACGAGCACGATTGTCATCACTGCTGAGATTGAATCTGGATTCGCGCGCGCGTCGCTAAAGACGACCTGGTGCCATCTTGCTGCAGTCCAGTTTTCTCGCGCGCGGCACCGAGTGAGTGTATATTATCGCCGCACTATTCAGCTACACTAGGGTTTTTGGCGACGGACCGCGTAATTTTGAACCATGGTCAAGTGACGTGGACGACACCAGAGCTAGCACCCCCTCTCCTAACTATCACACCACACCAACGGTAGGACGTTTAAGCTCTCGATAGATTTAACATGCATCACTGCCCTACACGGCGGGATTTTAATGGTACTGGGCTCGAACTCATGACATGCCTGCCATGATCCATATCTTTACCACTGGGCTACCGTAGCCTTCGTGCGTGGCACCACTCTAAACGGAGGCGTCGATGGGTGGGCGTCAAGGGCAGCACATGTAATGGGCGTCACGATCCCAAATGTCCTTCAGCAAGGGACTTTCATATGGTTCGAGAAGGCACAGGGGCCCCTAGTGAAGGTGCTACCTGTGCCTGGATGGCGGCCGATGAAGCAGTTGTCTGTACACGTGCATTTCTTACGATGTGGCGGTCTTCTCGACGACTGGTCTGTCGAGGGCGTTCTGAGCCTGGTCTTCGTGTAAATGACATCTCTAGGATCCACTGGTCCCAACATCTCACAGCACAATCGGAGTGGCCTAATTGACGAGCTACTCGCCTAGCTAACCCTCTCCCCCCCAGCTTCCATCATGCCGATGATTCTCTCCCTCTCAAACTGAGACAGCGCTCATATTGTCTTCGAAAACAGCATAATTGCATGTCTACCTCAGTTCTTTCTTTGTAAACGATTCAGTACACTCAAACAAACTTTGTTTACCTGTTTTATACTCCACGGAGAATGACGTTTAACGCCCTCTACCGGGTAGACGTAAAGCGCAATCACTCTGCATTTCTAATCATTTGCATATCTCCCCGACATGTACCTTCATGCCAAGTTTCGTTAAGATCCCGCGCTTGTATCTTGGTGAGCTAATTTTTTTGTCCATGAGTGTATGGTATATATATATATATATATATATATATATATATATATATATATATATATATATATATATATATATGACAGAATCACAATATTAAGTGGCAAAATAGAAAGTGATTTTCCTTGCAATTTTCCATTTTCTTTCTGTGTAGGGTGTTGGACTATAAATTTTAATTTGTTACTATTTATTGATTAATTAAATTTAATTGTTCCAATAAAATTGTACAGTAAAAAAACCCCACGTTCTGAGGAATTAGGCTATCCCAGGTGCGATTCGAGGCAACGACCTATGGATTAAAAATCCAACGTGCTATCCATTGCACTACAGGGACGCAACGAGCGATTTTCCTTTCTTTATATGTTGCACGATTATTATTTTTGATTGTTACTATTTATTCACTAATTTAATTTAATTAATGAATTAATATTTGGAAAAACTGTATTAACATCAAGTGTCATCCTCTACAAGTTTGAAATATATATTTGAACTTGAGTGGATGAATAAAAAGTATTTTATTAACTATTGAAAATTTGAACAAGATACATAGAAATATGAATATAAATAAATATATATAGGGAGGGTGTGAACTAACTAATAGTAAGAATTGAAAAAAAGGGTTGAAAATATGTTATTTGACTATAATTTACGCCTCAGTATAAAGCAACACGAGTGATATTGGCAACGTTAGAATCACGGTCAAGTGACGAGGATGACAATAGAGCTGGCACCTCCTTTTCTCTGAACTTCTACACTTTGCTAACTTGAGGACTTAAAAAGCCATGTCAGATTTAACGAGAATCTCAGCGGGTTTCAAACCGGCAGCGCTTGGTTTCAAACCCACGACTCGACTACGCTGGCCACGAGCTACCATGGCCTTATTCAAAAAAGTTAATTTGAAGTTAAGAAACTTTGGTTTATTTGAAAAAGTCTTATAGTAATATGAGATTTTTTAAAATTTTCTTTAATAACATTGACAATAATTTAATCTTAAATGGTTATTTTGTTTAATTATTGTCAGTCTGAACAGCTAGTACTAGCAAAAAAATGAGCTTTACGTTTTTGTTGTTGTTGTTCAAGAACCGAACTTTGTTATAATCATCCAAGAAAAGTAGAGAAAAAAATTAGATTCCTGCTTAGCACAACAAAACTTTAGTGGTACGTAAGCTGAAAAGCTGAGTTCTTTCTCATTCTCGAGGCAGAATTGAATTATACAACAAATGGACAATACATTGATTTTAGTATTATTTCACGCTACTTTTAAAACGTTTTTTAAAGATTAAAATCATTTTTCATATGAACGAAGATTTCTAAAAGTTACAAACACACTTTACACTAAAATATACAGGATAATTCCCTACCAAACCGACAAACTTGCAGGGTGTGTAGGGAATGCTTAGAATAGAATAAATTTTAGACAGAAGAGAAAATGGAGTTGAGAGACGTGAGGACGATATCGTGCTATGAGTTTCTGTGATTTTAAAGTGAGTATAAATCAAGAAGAATGTGTTCAATGGCTGCAATTAGCATTTGAGGATGAATCTCCATATTGTGCTACTGTATTCAGATGATTAAAAAAATTTATCAGAGGTCGCAATTCTTTTCAGGATGAAGAACACACAGGAAAGCCGCGGTCGGCTGTAATCTAGGATAATGAGTCTGCCACACGAAAAATGTTAATGGATTTTAATAGCTGTACTTCCAAATAATACACAGAGGGAAGTTAACTTTGGATCCACAGCCATACACAAAATTATTCATGAAGAATTACATATGAAAAAGTAGTTTTTTGCGTTGGGTTCCCCATAATCTAAACGAGCACTTAAGAGAGGAGTGTGTCCCATTCAATATAAAATCCCTTAAATTGCTAAATTATGGTGGCCACCGCAACATTTCTAAAATTTTAACGCAGCGTTTCTCAAACTGTGGGGCGCGCCCCCTGTGATAATTCTACAAAGGGGGGGCACGAGCATATTAAAAAAGTCGAAAACAAAAAAATTGTTAGAAAAAATTATTAATTTACTGTAAGTAACAAACAAAATGCATTCTGATATAATAAAAAATAAAATATACATTTACACTAATACAATACACTTATATAAATGTATCATTACTGTACAATGTATTATATTATTAATTTAACAATACTAAGTTAAGAACAAGTTCGATAATTATCAGTGGCCCCATGGGCTTGTATTCAAACTTATCTTGATAATTGGTACGGGTTATAAGTAATCCCTTAATTGCCGAATAAAAGTTACGTGATTCGCTCCCCGATGCCACCGTTTACCACGTAGATGCTCATACGCGATGTTTTTTTTTTGAAGGTGGGGTGGGAGAAAAAAGGATAAAGAAGCAAATCCTCTGAAATAAGTAAATCAATCCAGAACAAACATTGTCAAAGTTCTTTTATTGCATTCCAAAGCCTTCGGAATAATTTTATGGACATAAGTGCAAAGAAAATATCGTACTTCGGAAAGACGTATATATACGTCCAGAAATCTAATGCTTTGGCTGAGCGAGACGTTTATATACGTTGGTGGCACCTAAGAGGCCAAAGTCGTATCGTAGCTTTAGTGTCAGATTATAGTATTATTGAATTCACATTGTTATCGTATGAAAGGGGGTGCGCAATGAAAATTATGATTGATTATTGGATCGCGAATATTGAAAGTTTGAGAAGCACTGTTGTAACGGGTGACGAAACATACACACGGTTTTTTAAAGTTCAAACACGTCAATAAAGCATAGTATAGGACTTTGAAGATGATCCCACGGCGAGAATGGTGAATAGACAACGAGCAATGAAAAAAGTAACGCATGCCATTTTCTTCAGAAATATGGGTTTGATCAAATCCATCAAATTGGAAGGACAGAAGATAGTAACAGCAAACTGATATACCACTAAATGTCTTCCAAAAATTCCCCAAGAAGTGAATGTTAGGAGACAAATGCTTCACCATGACAGTGCATCTTCCCATACAGCCGGATTAACAGCTGAGTTTCTAAAACAAACACAAATTAAAATGATAAAACATCCACCTTATTCTCCGTATCTAGCTATGTGTGACTTTTGGTTACTTTTTAATCTAAAAGACATGGACGACATTTTTATTCAAAAGAAAATGTGTGGCTATAAATGCATTTTTTCCCATCAATTCCAAGAATTGAATGGTTTGAGGCATTCACTCTGTGGAAAATTCGAAGACTACTTTGAAGACTCATAATATTTTGTCACTTTAAAAACCTGAGTGTATCTCAAAAATTTCAGAATGTGTGTGTGTGTGTGTGTGATCCTCGTTTCTATGTAAACTATAACAAAAAAAAGATAGAAGATATCGATAAAAGCAAAAGAATTTGATTCTCCATGGTTTGAAACCATTCAAAAATTTGCGTTTGATGACTCAGAAGACATCCGATTCCCTACTCCTGGTGTAATTCCTGAATTGGTTTGCCCTTACACCGTACGAGCTACCGAATGCTGGCCACAACCGGTTTGCCCGTACGCTGTATGGGCACTGGAATTTTCTTCTTTCTATCTCTTTAGCATATGTTTTTAATTATTATAGTGAGATTATTAATGCTAGTGCTGTTAAGAGATTCAGTTTGTCCATGGTACTCAAATACTTTTCATCCGGAATATTCTTTGTGGTGAAGGCAGGAATATACACTGGCCTCCAAAAGTTAAGGAACAGCATGTTTTTCGAAGCTCACCGTAAAAAAATGACATTAACAATAAAATTTATAGTTTATATAAATGATAAAAACGAACTTTCTACAAATGTATGCAAAAACAATAGCTACCCCTCTTTTTTTAAATAGGAAAGAACAGATATATATGAGCGAGAGAGAGAAAAGTATGCATACATCAGACTTTCGTAATTATGCGTGTAACTTTTGTTGATTTACAACTTTTGTTAGCAAATTTGTTGACAATAGGCAGTCGGATCTCGCAATGTCTGAGAGAAGCCGTTTGCACAATTCGTTAAGGTGGAGGGCGGTCGGAAGGATGGAAATGGGGTTGTCACAGGCTGATGCAACTAGGCGTCTAAATGTGTCTCGTACTGTGGTCCCTCCTCTTTGGAATCAATATCAAACCGAAGCATCTGTATCCAGAAAACATGTTTCAGGCCGATCACGAGCTACAACACCTGCGGAAGACCCTTTTATCACTCTTTAGGCCCGAAGGAGAAGAAGGATTTCTGTGCCGCAACTTGTTGCAGACCACTCTGTAGCATCAGGAAGAAGAATATCCGCTAGTACGGTGTGAAGGCGTCTTCGCAATTCAGGTCTCTATGCAAGGCGACCAGTTGCGTGTATACCCCTCAACCAACGGCAGAGAAGGACCCGCTCATCTTGGGCAGGAGAACACGAACTAGACAGCTTCTGTACTCTTTACAGATGAGTCCAGATTCATACTGGAGAGCGAGTCAGGACGTCTGCTCAGCTGGAGGGAAAGAAGCATCACACAGATATCATCAATCCAACATTGTTGAAAGACACAGTTACCGAGGTGGTGGAACAATGGTTTGTGCAGGGATCTCACTCGGTGGTCACACTGACCTGTATGCGTTAAAGGGAGACTATGCCGATACAATTGGCAATGTCTTTATTCTGATGGATGATAATCTACGAACTCACCGAACTGTAATTGTTGAGGAATATCTTTAAGGTCTTGGTTTGGAGAGAATGAAATGACCAGCTCGATCTCCAGACTTATATCCGATAGAGCATCTTTGGGACTATCTTGATAGACAGGTTGCTGCTTTATATATATAAGTCCTCCTCCAAGATCTTTAAGAGAGTTAGAGGAAAGCTTACTCCGTGTCTGGTCTTCGGTAACCGACAACTTAATTGACAGCATGAAAATTCGATGTCGCCAATGCATTCAAGCTAGGTGTGGGCATATCTCTTATTAGAACACAATTTTGTTATGTTTCTATGACATTTTACCACATAAAACTGTGCTTATTACTTATTCCAAGAATGAACTTTTCCAGCGAGATTGGCTTTTTTTGTTGAAAATCATTTTTGAGTTTTTGTTACGTAAACTTCTATCTTGAAGTCAATACATAATTGTTTTGTGCACATGTCATCGGAATTTGGTGCTTCTACATTTATTTATTTGCAAATAAGGCGCAAAAAACCGGTTGTTTCTTAACTTTTGGAGGCCAGTTTAGTTTCTTGAAAATATTCGATACAGAACAAAGATTGGCAAGTCAATGTGCATTTTGTGTCTTGAGAAGAAATGAAAACGGAAAGAAATCCATAAATGTGTGTAATCCAAAAATGTCGATATTATCTCTGTACCGATGCAATGCAAGACTTAATATT